AACCAGTCTGGGCTCACCTTGCTCTACACTGCCTCTCCCCCACTTTCAACTAGCTCGTTGTGCCAACTCCTCCAGTTGGTCTGTTCTGGCTCTGCCCCTCATAATTTAGTTTTGATACAGTGCAAAACTGGAACAAAAACGAGACATTGGTCAGAGATTTACTGAGCCATAGCCGGAAAAGGATATTCAACAAGAATAGGTGTTAAGGTCATCTCAAGGGGACTCAGTGGACAGAGCGCTGGGCCTGGAGAAGACCTGAATTCAAATCTGGCCTCAGACACTTACTAGCTGTGTGACCCTGGGCAAGTCATTTAACTGATGTCTGCCTCAGGTTCCTCATCTATAAAATGAGCTGGAAGAGAAAATGGCAAACCACTCTGGTATCTTTGCCAAGAAAACTCTAAATGGGGTCACAAAGTCAGATAAAACTGAAAAACAAGTTGATTCAGCTGAGTGAACTTCCCATATCTGAGTTGCGCATCATAATCCACCAATGAGGCATCCATTAGTGCCCTTGGACTGCTGAATGTTTCATACTCAAACTGCCCAGAAGTGATGGCATCAGCCTAAATCTTTAGTTCTCTGGGCCAACCAAGAATTGAGGATGGTCTCAATAACTTTTAAGGAAAAATTAGCCTAAAGTGCATGAAAGTGTTAGGATATTATACTACTCCAGCCATAGCTACATTAAGAGGCATAATGAGTTGAAATCCAGCCTTAGACACTTGACACTTACAAGCTGTGTGACCCTGGGCAAGTCACTTAACCCCAACTGCCTCACTAAAAAAAAAGAAAAAAAAAGAGGCATAACATCCAGGAATAGGAAGGGGATGGTTGCATTCCTTTTAGCCCTATTCAGACTATCTGGAGTACTCTGTTTGGTTCTGAGTGAAATATTTAGTGAAAAAATGTTTTTGATTGACTGGATAATACCCAGAACAGGGCAACAGGATGATAAAGGACTGAAGTAACAAGGCACCTGAAGGAGAGACAGGAGGCATGTACCAGGCAAATCCTACCACCTGAACACCACCTTGACCACCACCTTACCTTAGATACAAATGGATTTTAGTCCAGGACCCTGAACCCCAAAGCCTCACCAATGTCAGCTCTTCCCAGAACACTATCCCTGCTTCCAGCCCAGTCCCCAAAGCCATCCTCCAGGGAAACAGGCCTTGGAGAGATAAGACTTTTTGACTCCCTCTACAGAGTGCTGCAGCCCCCACCTCCCCTGCAGAGTCAGGAGAGAAAGCCTTCACCACTACCAAAGTCCTCGACATTGTCAAATGGTTCCACATTATTAACGGGTATGGTTTTATCAGTAGAGATGGCATTAAAGAAGATGCAATACCATTTCCTTTACCTCTGGCACCTTAGGGACCACAGGGCCTTTTCACTTGCCCCATAGTTGAATTTTCCTAAGTGTATTGTTTTCCCCAATTAAATTGGGAGCTCCTTGAAACTGGGCTCTCTATTTGGATCCCCAGCACTTTGCACAAAGTTATCTATTAATGGGTGCTTTTCCATTCATTCATCAAATCAAGCCCTATGAGATTCAGTGGAAGGAAATGAGTTAACTGGGAGAACAAGGGACATGGGAAGGACAAGAGAACTTTCTTTAAGTATTTGAAAGCTTGTCCAGTGGAAGAAGGATCAGCTTTGTTATGATTTGCTCCAGAGGGCAGGACTAGAATAATAGTGAGAGGTAACCCAGAGGCACATTTAGTCTTGACGTGGGAGGAAAAACTGCCTTATAGCAGGAACTGTCCCAAAGTGGAATAAGTTGCCTCATGGGATGCCCCTCAAAGGAGCTCTACAAAGGTTGGATGACCACTCATTAGTCTAAATGACTCCCAGGGTTCCTTCTCACTCAGAAAGTCTGTGATTCTCTGAAACCGGGACAAGAAAATAGGGCGGCATTTATACAGGTTTGCAAAATGCTTTGCATATATTATCTCATTTGAGATAATGAGATAATCTCAGGCTGTGGGTACAGGAATCCAGGATCTGCTTTACAGAGCTTCGGGGAAGAACACCTGCCTTCAGCCCTCTTGCATTTCCAGCTCTTCCACATCGTGAATGCTGGTGGTCATCAAACTCTCTCTCTCTCTCTCTCTCTCTCTCACACACACACACACACACACACACACAAACACACACACACACACACACACAAGCTAGATGTGAATCTTGGCTCTGCTACTTACCACCTGTGTGTCCTCTAGAAAGTCACCTAACCTTTCTGTGGCTCAGTTTCCTCATCTGTAAAATGAAAGGGTTGGACAAGGCAGTCTTAGAGGTCCCTTTCAGCTCTACAGTCGTGATCCTTTGATCGACTTAATTTCTTGAAAGATGGATGGGAACACAGAATTCGAGTCAAGCGATAGAGAAAAGAGTAATGACCTCAGTCTCCTTTGTAAACTAAGGATCCATATATTCATGCCTGGAAAAGGCATGTCACAGAGGAAGAACAAATGATAACACATGGACGTTAATTCTACAATGGCTATGTTAAAAGACACTGTGCCACCGACTGTCTTCACCCAAAGTTACTTTGTATTTACATGTGAGAGTGGAGAAGCTAGGTGACAGGTAGGTGGATAGAGCGCTGAGCCTGGATTCAGGAGGACCTGAGTTCAAATTTAGCCTAAGACACTCACTAGCTGTGTGACCCTGGGCAAGTCACTTCTATTGCCTCCCAAGGACAGAGAGTGGGGGGGCAGCACAGCATGGGGGTAAGTCAGACCAAGGTTCAAGTCTTGCCTGAGACATATATTGGTTGCGTGACTTTAAGAAGCACAAGGCTAAGATGTGTAGCTGCTTATCTGCTTTGAGAAAGTAATTCCCCTCACTGGGAGTTCTCCATAGGAATGAAATCACAGGTCAATACAAATGAAAGGGGGAAGAGGGTAAATATAAATTTGGCTAGTTCAAATCAGGAATGTTGAGCCAGACTGGGAGTGCGGACAGGTTAAGAAGTTAGGGTTTGGGGTCCTTAGAGAACACAGATGTACCCTTGGGTGACCATTCCTTCCCTGGCACTAACCTGAGTACCATCCCCCTTACTGGGAGCAGGGGGGAGGGGGAGGAGCAAGGAGACAGGTCTGCACAAATCTCTGTCAGAGCTCCAGGCACTTAAGAGTCTGGTCCCACAGTCCTTCCCAATCAGTTGTTTCATTGTTCCAGGGATGACTTCTCTCTCTCAACCAGACTGTGAGCTCCCCGCTGTGGAAACAGCCCCACTGTCAGTCAGGAGATCTAGTTTTCCGAGGACTCTCTGGTGCCTTCGGACGTTCCTACTGCTTTCTGGGCTTCAGTTTCCTTCTCCTCTTCCTTAGAAAGAAGAGGATGGACCAGATGGCCTCTACGGGCCCTGCCAGCTCGGATCGGACGTTTCGAGAGGTGTAGTTGATCCGTAAATTGGATAGACACAGCAGGAGGGTCTCAGCCCGGTTCAGGCCAAGGACTGGTTCGAAGAATGGCTTGACGGCCCTCAGACTAAATTCCTGTATGATCTCGGCCAGATCACTTCTTCTCTGTAGGCCTCAGTTTCTTCTTTTGTAAAATGAGGGAGAGGGAACTAAATAATGTAGAAGGTCCTTTCTTGTTCTCAAACCAGGATTCAAGGAATTTCGGACTCCTCCCTGCCGCTCTCTTCCCTCCCTCTTTCCCCAAGGCCCAGGAAGCCCTATAGGGGAGGCAAGTGTGCCCTTTGGCATCAGCCCAGGTGAGTGCCAGGGGCGGCAGGAAAGAGAAGCAAGAGGGCGAGGGACTAGGACAGGTGTTGTGCAATATCTTGGATTCCCTAGGAGCTCGTCCGGGTAGGCTGTGACCACATGGGGCAAGGATGGGGAGCAGGAGAGCTGTGCCCAGTGCTCCAGGCGACCCAGGGTAGGGTGGGAAGGCAAGCAGGAGAGGGACTACACCCTCTCCCCATCCTCCCTCTCGGTGGGCAGCGCAGGTGTCTCGGATCCAACGCTTAGGCAAAAGGGGACCCTCGGGATTCCTGCAGCCCCCAGATGAACCCCCTTCCTCAGCTACAGGCTGACTCAGCACCCTCAGTCCAATCCCGACCCCTTTGCGGGGGCACAGCGGGACCTTCAGCTCGGACAGAGCGGCGAACCGAGGGTCACTCTCTCGGAGCCCGGAGCTCGGAGCCAGAGAGCCCAGACCCCGTATGTGTTCTCAGCACCAGAATGGTGCGAGATTCGGGTGGGGCAGTCCCGGCTCTGGCCAGCTCCCTGCGCCGCAAGCTGAGTCTAACTACCAGGTGGCGCGATTATCCTATTCATTGAGGGAATCCACACTGCCACCGGCTTAAAATCGCTTCTTGGGGCTGGCGCAAATGTACCCTGTCCGGGTAGCTCCGCCGCGGCCATGTAGACCCGTCCACCCTGGTTCTCCAGCCCTAGTAGAGCCCTCTGCCTGTAGCCCGCAGCATCTCCCCAAAAGCCGGCGCGGGCTCTTTAAGACTTCGAGGTGGGGCGGTTGGGACCTCACCCCCCCCCCTCCTTCAGGCCCCGCCCTCCAGGCTGGGCTCATTAGCATGGCCCCGCCCCCGTCACTGCTAGGCTCTGGCGGCTCCAGCGCTGCCAGTGTCCAGGGCTGGAGGGACACGCGGCGGGCGGCTCGGAGGTGGAGGCACTGGTTCCGTTTCTCCGGCCCAGGGGAAGGGAGCGGCGGAGCCCAAAGCGAGGGCCGTCTGCACAAACAGTCCGAGAGGCAGGGGTAGGCTTGAGGCTGAGCTAGGTGCTGGAGCCGGAGCTGGAGAAGGAGCCAGGTGCGCCCGGGGCGCACTCAGAGCGAAAAGCTGACCGCGCGAAGGGACTGAGCCGGAGCGGAGAAGCCAGCGCCCGGGGAGGTTGGCGGGGCGGGCGCGGGGCTGCCGGGAATGTGAGTCCGCAAAGCCCCCGGAGCCGGGACGGGAGCCAGCGCGCCCCTGGGGCGATGTGATTCCCGCGGCCGGGAGCCCGAGCCCGAGCCGGAGCGGGCGCGACGCGATGGTGCGGGGCGCTCCCCGGGGGTTGGGGCCGCCGCTACTGCTGCTCGCGCTGTGGCTGCAGGGCCGGGGGGGCAGCGCGGCGCCCGCGCCCCGGACCGAGGAGCTGAGCCTGGGAGTGGTGAGTGCGGACCGCGGGGGAAGGGTACGATGGGCGGAAGGAGGGAAGGGGCACTCGACCAACCCCCGACAGTCAATCCCCCGACCCTCGGGCTCTGATACCCTGGCTCTCCGAGCCCGGAGGGCAAAGCGCGGAGGAGGCAGCAGGCCGGAACCCCCCATTGCCCCCGAGCGGCCGCGAAAGCACGCGGGGAAAAGTTTATCTGGAGCCCAGGAAGAAGACGGGGAGCGGGAAGAAGGGAGGAGGGTCAGCTGCCCCCAGAGGGACGGCTGAACATCCTATGCGATGGACAGGAGGCAAAAGAGAGCGTTAGATGTATGTGGGGGGAGGGAGCTTCACAGCACAACTGGCCAGGGCGAAGTCCCAGTACCCCTCCCCTCCTTGGGACCTTGGCAGCTGTGGGTCTACCGTGGCCTCAGTGACAAGAGGTCTCCCCTACTCATCCCCAGCATCGGAGGCTTAAAAGCCCCAATCTTTCTGGCCTGGGGCCAGCCTCCTTGGAGATGGCTCCGTGTGGTTGTGTCGTGGGGCGGGAAGCAAAAGGCACTCCAGCCTGCTGGAGTGTCTGGGGCTTCGCGGAGGCGGCCTCCCAGACGTGTTGCACCCAGGAAAATTCGTTGTCGTCGGATCTGGACCTGTCACATGAGACATTCCTAAGTCTGGTTCTTCCCTCTTCTCCGGAGCATCCTTTTTTTCCTGCCAGTTCCCAGCGCAGCTTCTTCCTTTCCCATGCTGGTCCTAGAGGATTGCTCAGAAGCTGGGAGCCCTGGGTAACTGGCTTGGATTATGTTTTGCTTTTTTCCTGGAAGGATTTCTGCCAGCTGAGCAGATGTGAAGATTCCTCGGGAACCTGATGGTATTGAGGGTGCCCCGCAAAAGCTCCCCAAACCTGCCCAGTGCGTAGAGCCTTAAGAAACCTGTTTGCCAGCTCAGGCCCCTCGTGGTTTCCTCTCTGCCTCCAGCACCCACAGATCTTTTATTCTCAAAGGCACGGAATAGAGTAGAGAGATGTACCCATTTTACACATGTAGAAACTGAGTCACAGAGCTATAGTGCAGTCATACAAGGGCTCCAGATCCAGGAAAAGAGATCAGGTCCAGGTCTTTGCCTGGTAGCCTTCCCTATCAGCCAATCAGCCGTCTTGCCATTCTCAATTCCATCTTTCTAAGCCAAGGCGAGTTTCCAGTGCCCACTATTTTTTCCCCCTTTTCCTAACCGGTAAGTGATGCTGCTGTTGCTGCTACGGTCGCCCTGGAAACTAACCCGAGTCAGAGGACAAGAGATAAGTCAAATTCTGCAGTTTGCAATGTGTGGTCCCCAGAGCAAAGCCTGGATTGGCGTATTTTCTCCCGGGGTGTTTGGGTATGAAACTTCAGCTCCCCCCTCACTGTCCTTTTCCCCCTCCCCCCCACACTCACACACACATACAAGGGTCAGAAGGTCCAGGATCTGTGTTGTTTCAGAGCGGCCCTGCATGAGGCAGAGGAGGGCTTCCTGGTGGTGGTGTTGAATGACTTGAATGTTTTTTACCCACCTGCTGGATCTATCTGGACAGCCCCCTCCCTTGAACATGCCAACCCTCCGCCCTCTCTGAAAGCATTCTTCCCACCCACCCACTCTTTGAAATCCTCCGTTCATTTTTACACTAAGAGGATCTGTGCAGAGGCTAAGTGGGCATCCTTGCCCTGCTGCCTCATCTGGGGCCTATGTAAGTGATCCAAGCTGGGAAAAGGGAGTCCAGGAGAAAGGAGACCTCCCCCACCTCCCCAGGCCTGGGTATTCACAAGGTCAGGCTCAGGGTGGGGAGATGGGGGTTGGTGCAGTTTGGATAAGCCCAGGGAAAGGGGGTGGGGCAGTTCATTTGGGGGTGGCCCTTTGGGGGAGATGCTAGGGCCAGTTTTAGGGAGGCGGGTTCTGAAGCCCTTCTGTTCGCCAATTGCCCTGGCAAAGGTCCTCTGTTCTTCCGGTGTGACCCCCTCACCCCACTTTCTCATCCTTAGCTCACAGGACCCAGATCTCTTTCTCTTTGGGTGTTCGTGCCTGCTTCGTCCCACCCCCACTATGGCAGGAAAATGTCAGTCCCCTCCCACATCCGCTGCCTGGGGACCACATTTGCATTCCTTAATGGAGGTTCCTGTGGGGTCTTGCTTGGCCGGATGTGTTCCGGTTCCCGGGGCTGCCTTTGTTTCAGATCTGGGGGCACAATTCCAGGGGCTACCCTGAGTGCCCAGTTTCTCTGGGCTGGTGAGGGAAGGAGTGACCCAGGCATACAGGTCAGCCAAGGTTCTGTCCAGCAGGAGTCAGGCAGAGCTGTAAACCAGCCATGAGCATACCCCCTTCCCAGGGGCATCGTCTCTTCCACCTGCCAGGACCAAGCTGTGCATGAAGATCTGCCCCTCACTAGTCCATTCCTACCCTCCCCCATCCCCAGCTTTCCTAGGACAGTGAGCATGTGTTCATGTATGCATGTGTGTATATATATATGTTTGTGCCAGGTTACTATGAGAATAGTGTTTCTGTGTCCGAAGACAAAGACGTTAAACCCACCCCCACACAAGGTTTAGAACAGATATGGGAAAGGGAGGCAAAAGGGAGCCATATTCTTCCCACTGATACTGTCCAGGCAGCCCGTGGTAACCAGGAAGTCTAGAATCTGAATCCCTATTTTCCCTTAGACTCTCTTCCTAGCATCTTGTGGACATGTTTACCCCAGCTGCTACCCAGGCTAGAGTCATTTCTTCTCTCCTCTTTCCTCTCCTTTCCCCCTCAGACAGAACCCAATCCCTGCTGTTCTTTAAGGCTTAGGTCCAAGGGAAGACCAGAGCCCTGGAGGGGGAGAGGGTGGGAGGAAGGGTCCCCTCCAATCTCCTTCTAGCCCTCATTTATGGAGTCCTTTGCACTTCTCCCAGGAGCCCCACTGCTATCCTGAGCTCAGCAGCTCTCTACACCTCTAGTCATTGGCATCATTCTCAGAGTATTTCCTCAGTTGGAGTAAAACCTCTCTTGATCTGTGACAATTTCCTTTAAACCTCAGGCAGCATCTCAGGTCCATATGCTTCCTTCCACCTCCCTCCCCCATCCCTTCTGCAGTCTCTCCAGACCATCCACTCCCTCATATCTCCTCTCTCTTCTCTGTTCTAACTATGAATCACCCCCTCTCCCCTCCTATAGACTGCCAAAGAATGAGCATAATTGGAGGGGGGCGAAGAAAACTTGAGGCACACCTAGAGAAGAGGGCTAGATTTGCTTCAAATTCCAGCTCATCTTCCTAATACTTCTGTGACCTCAGACAAATGACCTAACCTCTCTGGGCCTTAGTTTCCTCATTTGTAAAATCAGAGAATTGGACCAAATGACCTCAGCAGTTCCTCCTAGCTCCAGCTCTATGATGCTGTTGACTTCAATTTTTTATATCGGCTTGTGTTATTCTCCTTCGGGATATTTTCATTTCAATAGGAGATTCTGGGGTAGGGGGAGCCTCAAAGATGCAAAGAATTGCATGTCTAATGATACAAATCCAAGCACTGGGAGGGGCAAAGGAGGGAAAGCTATTCATAAATATTGAAAGCTCTCTGTTCCTCCATTCCTTCGTCTGTAAAATGGGACCAATAATATTGTACTAACAAAGTTGTTATAAAGTACCTTGTGAACCTTGAATACCTTTAGAAATGTGAGTTGTTGCTGTTATTAATATTACCTGCCCCCAGTGAGATGCCCCATCAAGGGTATTGAGAAGCCCAGCTCACAGAACACAGGCAGTCACTGATCATTCATTCCCGAAGGGAGTCAGTTCAACAATGAATGGATAGGACAGTGGCTTCTGAGGGCTATGATCCTTAGAATTTTAATATTTATTAAGTACATACTAGGTTCAGAATATAATACAAGTCCTGGGGATGATATAGATATTAACTAAAGCACCAATCTCTTCCCTCATGGGGCTCCTAGTCTAGGACATGGATTCCTTCTCCTCAGCCACATTGGCGTTGAAAATTGAAGTTTCCCATGACCTTGAAGATCTTACTTGGAGTGTAAGAAACCTCCTCTGTAAGAAGATCCTGGGCTTTCCTAATCCAAGGATCCCCAAGAGGAGATGTGGATAGATTTTAGGGGATCCATGAACTTGAGAAAATAATTATATCTTTATTTCACTATAATTGGCTTCCTTTATAATCCTCTGTATTTTACTTCATGCACTTAAAAACCTTATTCCAAAAAGGAGTCTGTAGGTTTCATCAGACTGCCAAAGGGGAGGCCATGACAAAAAACTGGTTAAGAACCCCTGCCCTAGGATACCTCCATTTTACGGAGGAGGAGACAGGAACCCAATAGGTGAAGGGAGGTAGTTGTTCATGGTCAGCCAGGATTCAAACCCATGTCTCCCAGGTCCAAGGGCAATGCTCTTCTCCCTCCTTCCCCTTACCCCATGCTGCTGCCCTCTCCTTGGTACCAATTTCTCCTGCCTGCAATCCCCTCCCTGGACCCAACAGCATTCTTCAATTAAGGGAATTTTTCAGCCCAACATCCCATGGAGTCACCAAGGATGAAAGCATGTGCCTCCTTGGAAGAATTAGGTAGGGAGGGTGGCCAACAGGCTGCCTTTAATCAGTGGCAGGCTTCAACTAATGCTCAGTTCCCCACATGAAAGAGATTTCAAATACAAAGTCACAAATGGGACATTTGCTGATTTTTTTTCCTTCTTAAATACATTTGCAGTTACCAATCTCCAGTGCAAGTATCTGTGTGCCTTTGGGCTCCATCTCCTACCAGGCAACCTCTCCCTGCTTGGTCTTGAGCTCTTTAAAGCTGAGGCAGTTGGATGAAGTCTGTCTTTGTCACTGACCCTTTCCCATAATTACTGTTCCCACATCACAACAGACCATACACCCAGGGACTTACAACTGTGCCATGATGTCAGGGCCCTTGGGAAGGGGTGTTCTCCACCTCCACCAAAAAAATAATAATAATAATAATCTTCACCATTAGCCTGCAAATTTTTT